ATGCTTAACGTTTTCTAACTTCTGATGGTGTGGTATGCACTGTGACCATCATCCAACGTCACCAGGAAGTAGCTGTCCTCATAAATGACTTCACTGATTCCACTGATGAACACTGGATTATGATATAGATGAAACATTTGTAAAGAACTGATTAGTTTAATATTATTCACGAAGTAGGAGAATAGGTCTATGTTGCTGAGGAAACGCAGACTCTGTAATGACAGTCGACCCTGGTTAACTAGTTCACTAGTTACTAGGCAGTCCTAAGCCCGGGTAAAGAGGGAAGGTTGGGCATAGGGCTAGCAACACTACCCTGTAAAAACAAATCTAACCGCTAAGGAAACTTCAAAGCAAAAAAAAAATATCGAAAATAAAAACAAAATTATTCCTCGCTGGAATCGGAGAGGCGAAAGGATGCCAGTTGGTGAAAGCATTCAGGAAGCCGATTGGCCGATCTGTCTACTGTTCTCTCGATGAAAGCGAAAGTAAACGTGGGGACATGGGACGTCCGCACAATGCTTAAACCTAGCAAGGCTGCCCAGATTGCGAAGGAGATGAGAAGGTATCTCATTGAAGTGTTAGTAATTGGTGAAAGCAGGTGGAACAGAAGTGGACTCTACAAACTATCAACTGCAGAATCAATAATCTAATCTAGTCACCCAGACGACAACCACGAGCACACTGATGGAGTGGCTATCATGACGTCCCTGAGAGCATCAAAAGCTCTCATGCAGTGGGAACCAATCTCCTCCGAGATCACTTCATCCAGAAATACCACCTGCAGCCACCGAAATACAAGTGAACACAAATCCTCCGACGAAAGTTGAAGTCCTGAGCGCCATAAAGGCACTGAAATGCGAGAAAGCAGCAGGACCTGATGGAATTTCACCTGAAGCACTGAGAGCAGACGCTGAAGCAACAGCAAACATGTGCATACCACTATTTTAGAAGGTTTGGAAGAAAAGGAAGGTACCTGCAGACCGATTAGATGAAGGGTTACCTTGTCAAACTCCCGAAAAAGAGCGACCCAAGTCTTTGCAAGAACTGGCGTGGAAACACACTCCTGTCCACCCCAATCAAAATATTAAGCCGCATCATACCAGAGAAACTCAAAGATGTGCTGGATTCAAAATTACGACCCAAACTGGCTGACTGGATTCAGGAAGTACAAGCCATGTGGGACCAAATTGTAACTCTTCGCATCACCATAGAACAGAGTATAGAATGGCAGTCAACTCTTTACTTCAACTTTATCGACTTTGAAAAAACCTTTGACAGCGTCGACCGAGAAGTAATTTGGCAGTTGCTCCAACACTACGGTGTGCTACAAACCTGCATCAATATCATTCAACAACTATATGAAGAAACCACATACCGAGTGATTCACAACGGGAAGCTCAGTGATGCCTTTGAATTGAAGTGAAGACAGGCATGAAACAAGGCTACCTACTATCACCCAAGATATTCCTGATTGTGGTGGACTGGATCATGCAACAAACTGTGAGGAGAGAGAAGAGGGGGATACGCTGGACCGATGAAAAGACCCTAGAAGATTTGGACTTCGCCGATGAATTGTGTCTAGTGTCACACAAACTTGAAGATCTACAGGCGAAAACTAACAAGTTGACAGAAGAGGCGAGGCAGCTAAGACAGGACTTCAGGTGAATGTAGAGAGGACAGAGGCGATGAAGATACCCAACCAACAACAACAAGCTCCGATCACTATCAATGGGAGAAACTTAAAGGAAGTAGCCTCTTTCACCTATCTAGGCAGCACTGTTTCAACTACAGGTGGGCAAATGCACAGATGAGGTCGTCAAAGCCAGGATCGGAAAAGCAAGACAGGCGTTCATTAACCTGAAATCAGTGTAGAGATCTACTGCAATCCCCTGCACTCAACATTAAGCGTGAACAAGATCCGGATTTTCAACACTGATGTTAAGTCAATGCTGCTATATGGTTCAGAAACTTGGAGCGTCACGAAAGGCGTTTCCAACAAACTACAGACATTCATCAACAACTGCCACCTACGCTGGCTCGTTACTGAAGCTCAGATGGCCAGAATAATAAGAATAAGCGACAAGGCACTCTGGCTGGCTGACAACGAACCAACCAAGAACCTATCGCTCAACAAATATGAAGAAGGAAGTGTAGATGGATTGGGCATACACTGAGAAGGCCGACTGGGGACATCACGCGTCAGGCCAGGCCCTCGAGTGGAACCCATATGGGAAACGACGAGTTGGATATCGGAGGTGAGGATGACATGGAGGAGATCGTGTGGGGGAAGAAATGAGAGTTTCTGGGCCTTCGTGGAGCCAGGTTCAAAAGATTTCAGAGAAGAGAGTGGAATGGAGACGTGCTACTGAAGCCCTATGTTCCATTATGTACCCAAGGGATAAATGAATAAAAATAAATATATAAGGTCTACTGCACTCCACTCCACTCCACTCAACATAAACAACAGATCCGGTTTTCTAGATCAATAAATAGATTCCAGCCTGAAGAGTCTAATTCCCATTCAATTCCCCAAAGAGTAGGAACATGAACATTACTTTTCTCTACCATAAGCTACTTGACTCGGTTGTTAACCCTTTCACAATCAGCCAGTAACCATTCACGCACACCTTTTTATTGACTGTGCATGCAGATGGATGTTACACAAACGTAATCATTCATCCAACTTGGATTCGAATCCCACTGATTTCATCGTGTAAAGACATGTGGCATCATAAGCCCACGTAATAAATATGACCTAACAAATTAACTGGTGTCGAGTACATTTATGTAATAGTATTATTCTTTATATAATAAAAACTTGTTTGACTCCCAAAATATGAGACAGCGTTCATTATTGACATGCTAGGAAATGAATTCCACGAAAGTTTGTAACCGTCCGTGACCTGTGGGGTCAGCCAAGTTTGGTGTGAGGAAAAATATTCATTGATGTCATAGGTTGAAATGCCTGGATACAAATAAATATCCTCCTGAGTGATTTCAACTACTCAAGTTGTGCAATATTCTACTTGTTCGTTTCTCTTTTCAACTACGCGTGATTAACAAGTCATTGTCAACAGGTGATATGACAAAATGATGAACTTCATAGCAATAGAAATTAACAGAATTCAACAATTAGCAAATGAATGTCAACCACATTCCTTTTCGAAACAGTTCAGCAAACTTTCAAGTTGAAACTAAACATACATTGCTTCAAATGAATTGAATTTCCTATTTATTATTCAACATGACACCTTTCATGAAAGATTTCACTTACGTTCTTCTATCAAGTGAAAATAACACATGTTCATGAAAAGTGCTGATAAGTTATTTTCGGTATTTTTACAATTTTTAGGATGATTCTGTTGACTAATATTTCAGTAGTAACAAGAAAAATCATGCAATAACTCTCACAGATTCTTAGACAGGATAAATCCAACGAGCATATTTACACTTTATCAAAGCGTGAAACGTGCAAGTGATATTGGAACATGGGTGTAGGCTGATAACTGCCCAGCCTCCTCCTAGATTCGAGGTTTTCTCTTCGACATTTCACTACCAGACTAGGTGACCTCATCAGCATTTACCTCATAAAGGAGTTGTGTTGTTCTCTCATAGGCTCGAACCTTGTACCTATCGCTTTAAACTGCAAGGCGTTATACACTAGGTCAGAGATACACGATAGTCACGTCTTGTACAACGGGCATTAGTTATGACTATTAGTTGATATGCCTGTAATTCTCTATTGTTTTATTGGATAGAATTTGATCAATTCGATCCAGTAAAACAACTGAGAATTAGATGCATGTCAATAAATAGTAATAATGAAAATACGTTATAAAAAGGATAAGTTAACATTTCTCAACTAGTTCTGCAATTTATCTATCAATTTTTTATCGGTAAACATATTAATTTAGTTTAATGCCAACTAAATAAATCTCCGAACCTGGATTTTTCACTACTATTATTATTACTTTCACTTCTCTACGTATTACTTGTCCGTTTTGGCAAAAGCTGAGTAGGTCCGAAACATCTATTCTGTTCAGCGCTCTTTGGTTTTCGGTGATCTTCTAGCTACTATAAGTCTATAGTAAATCTTTCTTTGAAGTCAATAAATCCCGACAAATCTCTAGGTTTGATGTTCATTAACGACATGCTTCGAAATAGATTTCATGAAGTTCCAATGAGAAGCCTTGATTTTTTGGGCTAACTAAGTCGAGTTTGAAGACAGATATTATCCAGTGCACTGAACGGTGGTCACGCTATATCATGAATTGATAAAAGTTGGAAAATAGCAACCACTGTATTCTAACTATGTAGCTGGATAGTAGCGAATTTGTTAGAGGATCTGATGGTCTTGTATTTGATCTCTAACGGGGTGGTGGGTATGCGCTGCTATGGAGTCCCATACTATCTACTGCTAACAGCTGTAGCTTTTTCTGTTTTGAGCGGACACTTCAGTAACTTCGAAACACCAATATTTGAAGTTATATCTATGATCTTTGAATACCACTTGAGTGTTCGAAAATACCGTTTCCCACAACTCATGTAGTAAACTGTTGTAAATTGCTACAATATGCTTTTTGAGGTCTATCTACTTACGTGTTTTTGTAGGATTCTGTTTTGAACTTGAGCAGTATAAGCAATAAGCAAGTCAGCGAAAGTAAGTTCTGCAGATTGTTCAAAGCTAATTGTTAATCACTCAGTATTCGAGTGTGCTAGCTAACAGACATAAAGGATTTATCAAGAGATGTCAACCGAAACCTTAATCTTTCAGTGAGCAGCATGATATATCATCCAAAGAAGTCATAACAAAAGACTTTTTTCAAGTGGAATATCTGTATTTCATGATTTGTGATTTCATTCGCATAAATGCGGCCCTGTGCATGATGATGTGTACATAAATATTAGGTATACTTCTATGTTGATAGTTGTAATTCATCTTTTTCATACTGTATAGAAATGATCGATCTCTATTAGCATATGGGCGGTTGTTTCGATGGCTCGATATTACCTGAAGATTCATCATACTACAAATCCCCAACACAGACCGGTTCAATGAACAAATTGGTTAATACAGGTACTGATAAATGACGAATGATACTCTTTGTACAACAGGTATTTGTCGTAATTCATCAGCCTATTGAGTAACAGTCTGCCTTCTGTAGCTAAGGGTGTTAGATTAGAGTACCAATGGGAAAGCTATCAAAAACTAGGATGCAGGTGCATTCATCTGATGAGTCCTAAATACGAATGAACGCGTAGCCTGAATTCAGCTATTGATCAACACCGAGCAAATTACAGTATTAGTCATGTATATTGTCAGTACTCTGCTCATGTACACACAACATCAGAAAAACTAACACTTTTAAACAGAGTGATGAGGAGACGAAGATCATTTGAAACAAACATGTAATGTATTAGTGCTATACATTTCGAACAATCTCATTACAAATGAATTTGTCGAACAATTTATATGAAAATTTACGAAAAGAGTCAATGAAGTCAACAGGAAACGTTGGAATGGGAAGGGCAGAGAAAAAAAATCTTAAATTTTGAGGGAGTTGTGGAGATTTAGAAATATTCCAAGTTGTTATGCATCGTAGACTGACATCATTTGGAGGAACAAAGGAAACCTGGGAGCACTGAACAGCTGTTTCGTCCCAGTAAGGGACTCCTCAGCAGTACGCACCCACGACCCCACACCAGCGGGGATTGAACCCGCGACCTTCAGGTTCCGCGGCCAGCGCGTTACCATTTAGCCACTGGGTCACAATCCAATGCTCCATATTTCCAACTTCTGTTAGCTCACGATATAGCGCAACCGCCACCCAATGTCATCGTTGAGTATCTGTTGAGTATCTTAATCACATCACTCTTGATATGGAAATTAAAATCATTACTAGGTTCAAGGCGAGTTCAAATTGTTTTTGTGTACATAAAGGGGGTTTGAACTTATTAATAGCAAGAGCTCCAATCAATGTAAGCATTCGGCCCTGATTGCTTTTACGTAGTACTTTAAAAGCTGTTTTCATGTCTACTCTGTGATTAGTTCCTAGTATGCGTTCAGCAGTAGAGGAAGATAGACGTTTGTCACTTGTACTTATCGGATCTGTTGAGGTTATTTGTTTTTGAAACCACTAAGGTACATCCTAAATTACATATCATGACTACCCCTCCTTGTGTATAAGTGTTCACACACATGTAAATTGATAAACACAGTGAGATTTGATGCAATTGTTTTATATCTTGTTTTAGTTTGTGTTGTAACATGGACTTCGTCTTCTCTACATTGATTACCTTGGCTGTATTATATGTTTTATAGATGGCTGATTTAAGCCTTTTCTTCTCAATAAAGCTATGTGAATCACCTCTAAATGGTAATGAGATGTAGACATTTTTCTTATCAACGGAACACTGCGTGCTGTTCAATTAAATATAATTTTTGCACTTGTCGATAAATTTCAACGGATAGCCATCCTTTATCCGTGCTTTCGTCAGTAAATTGACTTTTTCTTCCTCCTACGTGTCACTGGTGCAGATGCCGTTTGTCCTGTTGAACCACGTTTACATTTGACTGGGAAACAGTTATGGAAACTAAGATATTGCCCTGTCCATGTAGGCTTCCTATGGATCAACCTCCCGATCGAGCCATCCTCCTATCAGTTAAGCATTATGTCTAGAAACGACAGGTGGCTGTTAGTCTCTTGTTCACAAATAAAGACTAATGTGATTATGAGCCGTCGTCTTCTTCTCTGGTAGACACATCGCATCATCAGGTTTTTCATATGTAATGAGTGCATCATCTACATATCTCATATAAAATGGAACCCTTCCAATGAGATTGTCAATCATCTCTTCAATATGTGACATGTACATAGGCTAGGAACAGTAATAGTGCACTACCCAACATGAAACCGTCAATCTATCCAAAGTATTCACCCTCGAATTTGAATTGAACTTTGCCAGTACGGAATAGTAATAAATCTTTTAAAAAATTAAGAGGGATCGGGAATGTAAGACTTCGAAGAAATGTAGTCACATAAAATACCAGTGGCACCTTATTAAGTAAAGAATTTACATCGAAGGAGTACATAGTCTTTTCCCTGATATTAATACCACTTAAACAGTCAACAAGGTCAAACGTATCTTTCAATGAGGATTTACATAAATGGCTTCTGACAAGACTCAAGAGCTTTGTCAACCATTTAGGTAAATGATATATGGGCGGTCGACACACAGAAAACATTGGATGTAGCGAATTGTAGGTTTATGAGTTTAAGTTAACCCATTTATGTGTAGATGTTCAGATCCCATAGGTTTTAGACAAATACCTTTATTGATTAAATTCATGCTGATCATTTTCACCAGTTTGAAGTTAACTCTTCCTTCTAATTTAAGCATTCCTCCAGAAAGGACATCTTACGTAAATTTGTTTTCATCACTAAGAATGGATAACATCTTACTTTTTTAATCAGACCTGTTCATAGCAACCAAACCTGATCCTTTATCGAGTTGTAGTATAACAATATCAGAGCTATTTCACAATCTTTTGAGTGTTTCGAAATATTCACGCGTTAAGATGCTTTTCTGTCCAGGATCAGGATTATGAAACTCATGAGAGATATCTACTTAGTTAGGTCTTAGCTGGTTCTGAATGTATAGAGAAGTTGAGACATGTGACCTGTGTTGACCATAGAGGTTTTAGAATTGAATATCATAGGTCAAATCAGAATTCTGTACCTCAGACATAGAAAAACTGAATCCAAGAGATAAATTTCATGTCGCTTTCAACATCAAAAATACAATATTTCTATCCTCTCCTATTGATGAATATTCGTGGTTGTTACCGATGCAACATGATTACTTTGCAAAAAAAACAATCTTACTGAATAAAATGAAGTCATTAACGCAGGTTCGAATCACTGAGGGGACACTAGTTTACTCACGGTTTCAGGTAAGTCTTGCTGATAAGTACAAACTAGCAGGAAACGTAAGTTGAACAGGGTACTGCCGATTTACTCCTAACATATAATAGCACATTTTGTGCCGGTCAGCAGTTACTAGAAACTATTCTTCTCAACTTCTAAGAAACCTGTGGTGTCTGAAAATGAAATGCATCTCAATTAGCTCTACACATGACATGAAAGACAGACTTATTTCAACAGCTAAATTCATACAAAGGGAGTTTCAACTTGAGTCTTTCATTGATTTTAAGGATTTATTCAGTAGTTCTAGTCATCTTGGCTTTGCACCTGTACTTCTTCTCGAGTGTTTTCTAATTTACTAGTAGGTAGCAAATTATGTCAAGAAGGAGAAAGTTTCAAAGCATACATAGATGACGAATGTCACTAGAAACGTTTTAGCGTTATAATTCTAGCGCAAGTTGGCTTTTCAAGAATGGCTGAAAAATAGACTCTTAGTGTAAAAAGAAGTGCAAAAATCTAAGCAATGAATGTCAGCCAAGTTAAGTAGTAAGCTGTGTAAAAACAAACCGTTTGATTTCATTCAATTATACTCAATTGTTAATTTTTTTTTCCGCTAGATCTCATATCGGCCTAAAAAGGCCGTATTTGAAGCCTAGTTGATCATGTGTATCGGTTGTAGTAAGTTCTGATCATCAAACACTCAGCTGAATTACTGGTTTCATCATCGTGGACTGACAAAATGCATCTGAGAGGTTTCACGTTCATAGCTGGATTACAACCACAGATAATGAAGTTCAAGTTAAGCCGGAAACAATGTGTTACATATCTAAGTACTACAGCACCAAAGTATAATTTCGACTGGATGAATGGCTTTCACAGTTGGTCGTTTGAATGACAATTATTGGTTTCGTTTAGATCATACGCTCAAACCGCCCTTATCATATGGTTCTGAGGTATCTTTACTGCATTATTATTATTATCACTATTATTACCATTTTCTAGACTCATTACACGAATATAACACATGCTCAAACTGTAATAAATCATACAACAAACAAAACAAAGGCATGGAAAATACCAACTCAGTTCTCTTTTATCATCAACGGAAGGTGTGATATACATACAGTGATAATCGGATAAATTTTTGTGTCTTCATACACACAAATAAACAAGGTTAACAACTGAAAATTGGACGATATTTGTTTCCTTACAGTAATAAAATGTGAAAGAAAAAGGATTTTAGCTCCAAGGTTATTCACAAACAGTAAGCTTTCATAAAAAACTGCCGCAAAATTTTACTGATTATGTTTTAGTTTCCTCAAAAAGTGTTAGAAAATATTTGAGGATAATTTGATGTAAGTGTCAAGAGTGAATCTCCTTTATTGAAATTATACGATCAATCATATAAGGATGTAAAGAAGTCGATCATAGTTTTCTTTCATCTGAAGTATTTGTAAATAAGTGAGTGAGCGGTTTACAGAAATCCATTTCAAGCATCAGATAACCAGGGAGATGGATGGAAATGAGAAGACTGCTTATTGTTTATTATCCTGCAAAGAAGATAAAATGTCACCATCAAGATGAAAACAGGTTGTTTATTAGTCATGAAATCTGTGGAATCAGTGGAATATAAGGTGCGGGTTCCATCCTATTCGGGCGCTGGGCTCGAGTCTCAGTGAGAACAATGTCTTCCACTGGGGTACATTCAGCTGACGATTCCTAATTAGGACGAAACGTGCTTTTCGGATTCAAACTCTAGCCACCACTAAGCAAATTACATTATGGGAAATTCTAAGTGTTTTCTGATTCTCGATAATAGTAAAATCATTTCTGGCTGTATACGTGGGATAGAGTGTGCCTTTGTTATCTCTATAAAGAAATATTCCAGTTGGTATTGTACAATAAATTTTAATTAAAACAGAAGTTATAGACATTATTGCTCGATTACTTTATAGAATGAAATCCAATGAAAGAAATGCTTCAAAATGGCTGCTCTAAAAGTAATATTATCAGTTCTCATGAAAAGGCATAAACCTTTCAATTTCTCACATATCTTTAACTTATGCTTGTAATCTCCTAGTACAATTAACCCTAAAATTCTGAATTCGAAAGTATTAGTCGAAAGATATCGACAAATCTTAGGAAAACTAAAAATTATTCTAACTCCATATTGGTTCATCTTCCTTGACTAGTATACCACCTGCCCTACATGATGAAGGAATAATGTCCCACAAAGCTATTCGATTATGCGCTTCATAAGTACCATGAAAAATAATAATCAACAAGTCTCTGATTCAAATATCCGTACATGACGTGAGATGATTGGCGCGGATACACGCCCCTATCCACCCCAATCAAAATATTAAGCCGCATCATACCAGAGAAACTCAAAGATGTGCTGGATTCAAAATTACGACCCAAACTGGCTGACTGGATTCAGGATGTACAAACCATGTGCGGACCAAATTGTAACTCTTCGCATCATCATAGAACAGAGTATAGAATGGCAGTCAACTCTTTACTTCAACTTTATCGACTTTGAAAAAACCTTTGACAGCGTCGACCGAGAAGTAATTTGGCAGTTGCCCAACACTACGGTGTGCTACAAACCTGCATCAATATCATTCAACAACTATATGAAGAAACCACATACCGAGTGATTCACAACGGGAAGCTCAGTGATGCCTTTGAATTGAAGTGAAGACAGGCATGAAACAAGGCTACCTACTATCACCCAAGATATTCCTGATTGTGGTGGACTGGATCATGCAACAAACTGTGAGGAGAGAGAAGAGGGGGATACGCTGGACCGATGAAAAGACCCTAGAAGATTTGGACTTCGCCGATGAATTGTGTCTAGTGTCACACAAACTTGAAGATCTACAGGCGAAAACTAACAAGTTGACAGAAGAGGCGAGGCAGCTAAGACAGGACTTCAGGTGAATGTAGAGAGGACAGAGGCGATGAAGATACCCAACCAACAACAACAAGCTCCGATCACTATCAATGGGAGAAACTTAAAGGAAGTAGCCTCTTTCACCTATCTAGGCAGCACTGTTTCAACTACAGGTGGGCAAATGCACAGATGAGGTCGTCAAAGCCAGGATCGGAAAAGCAAGACAGGCGTTCATTAACCTGAAATCAGTGTAGAGATCTACTGCAATCCCCTGCACTCAACATTAAGCGTGAACAAGATCCGGATTTTCAACACTGATGTTAAGTCAATGCTGCTATATGGTTCAGAAACTTGGAGCGTCACGAAAGGCGTTTCCAACAAACTACAGACATTCATCAACAACTGCCACCTACGCTGGCTCGTTACTGAAGCTCAGATGGCCAGAATAATAAGAATAAGCGACAAGGCACTCTGGCTGGCTGACAACGAACCAACCAAGAACCTATCGCTCAACAAATATGAAGAAGGAAGTGTAGATGGATTGGGCATACACTGAGAAGGCCGACTGGGGACATCACGCGTCAGGCCAGGCCCTCGAGTGGAACCCATATGGGAAACGACGAGTTGGATATCGGAGGTGAGGATGACATGGAGGAGATCGTGTGGGGGAAGAAATGAGAGTTTCTGGGCCTTCGTGGAGCCAGGTTCAAAAGATTTCAGAGAAGAGAGTGGAATGGAGACGTGCTACTGAAGCCCTATGTTCCATTATGTACCCAAGGGATAAATGAATAAAAATAAATATATAAGGTCTACTGCACTCCACTCCACTCCACTCAACATAAACAACAGATCCGGTTTTCTAGATCAATAAATAGATTCCAGCCTGAAGAGTCTAATTCCCATTCAATTCCCCAAAGAGTAGGAACATGAACATTACTTTTCTCTACCATAAGCTACTTGACTCGGTTGTTAACCCTTTCACAATCAGCCAGTAACCACTCACGCACACCTTTTTATTGACTGTGCATGCAGATGGATGTTACACAAACGTAATCATTCATCCAACTTGGATTCGAATCCCACTGATTTCATCGTGTAAAGACATGTGGCGTCATAAGCCTACGTAATAAATATGACCTAACAAATTAACTGGTGTCGAGTACATTTATGTAATAGTATTATTCTTTATATAATAAAAACTTGTTTGACTCCCAAAATATGAGACAGCGTTCATTATTGACATGCTAGGAAATGAATTCCACGAAAGTTTGTAACCGTCCATGACCTGTGGGGTCAGCCAAGTTTGGTGTGAGGAAAAATATTCATTGATGTCATAGGTTGAAGTGCCTGGATACAAATAAATATCCTCCTGAGTGATTTCAACTACTCAAGTTGTGCAATATTCTACTTGTTCGTTTCTCTTTTCAACTACGCGTGATTAACAAGTCATTGTCAACAGGTGATATGACAAAATGATGAACTTCATAGCAATAGAAATTAACAGAATTCAACAATTAGCAAATGAATGTCAACCACATTCCTTTTCGAAACAGTTCAGCAAACTTTCAAGTTGAAACTAAACATACATTGCTTCAAATGAATTGAATTTCCTATTTATTATTCAACATGACACCTTTCATGAAAGATTTCACTTACGTTCTTCTATCAAGTGAAAATAACACATGTTCATGAAAAGTGCTGATAAGTTATTTTCGGTATTTTTACAATTTTTAGGATGATTCTGTTGACTAATATTTCAGTAGTAACAAGAAAAATCATGCAATAACTCTCACAGATTCTTAGACAGGATAAATCCAACGAGCATATTTACACTTTATCAAAGCGTGAAACGTGCAAGTGATATTGGAACATGGGTGTAGGCTGATAACTGCCCAGCCTCCTCCTAGATTCGAGGTTTTCTCTTCGACATTTCACTACCAGACTAGGTGACCTCATCAGCATTTACCTCATAAAGGTGAGAAGTGTGTTCGTGTTGCATGAATGTTTATGAATGGTGTTAGCCAAATGTGACCCCTATCGGTATGTACCTGGAGTGATCGCTCCATTGTTTTATTACCGGAGGTTGCTGTCATCCAACCTATCGTATTGACTTAATGTCTTATTATTGATTTGCTTGGTTGATTTCTGGTTGGGAGATCACTTCTTAGTAACCCGTGCATATATTGAGTCAATATCCAAGTGTCTGCTAGATGCCATTGGTTTCCATTGCCATACATTATGGCATTTGTTTTCCGCTCTTGAGCTTGCCTGTTACGGCATTTCCACGTTGTCATAATTGAAGTTGTGGTTGTGTTCATCTACATGCATTGACATCCAGTCGGAAGCAAACCACCTTTAGAAAGTGTTCAGAGCCAATGACTGTTCAGTCCTGTTCATCAAGAAATACCCAATACTTGAACATAAATCAAGAAAGTTACCACAACAGACAAAAAGGACCACTTCACCATCTATCAGAAGTGTCTGATAAACTGTTAAACAATTACTTCACCTAATCCGTGTCAGCGTGGTACACAAACCAACGAGATCTCTGCAGAACATTGTAGCAAGCGAACACATACATTACTGAAAGAAGACAAGACGAATATAATCTGCAAAATCAGTTGCAAAAACTGTCAACATCACCACGTTGGTCGATTCGGTTGTTGAACACCCTGTTGAATTGATGAGTGTCAACTGGCATACAAACGATATGAGATGTCATCTTTGAAATCGATGCATATAGATGAGCCAAATCACAAATTTCATTGCGATAGCGTAGAAATACTACAACAAGCAAGCTCAAAAACGGCACCTGAATTCCTGGAAGCATGTTTCTCCCAATCAAATTGCAATCAACAGATATGCGGATACTGACCCAATACACAATCCACTAAGAAGTGATCGACCAACAGAAATCCTAACAGCCAAATCAATAATCAGACAATAAGTAAACTGAGTAGATCAAATATTTACGACAATGATGAAGATTAACCTCTAATAAAGGTATAAAAGCCATTCTTGATCACAAAAAAAATACACCCAAGGTCGGCGAATTCCTCCATAAGCATTCATGCAACTTGGAAACAGTTCTCTTCTTTATGAAATGATGATGAAGTCGCTTAACCTACTGATAAAATGTCAAGGAAAAGGCCTCAGGTCATGGAGAACTTCAAACAGTTATCGCCATCATCATGAGCTATAAGTCGTCTCTAGTCTCATAGGTGAAAGTTGCTTAAAAGACACT